CGCCCGGCTCGCCCCGCCCTCCGAGCTCCTTCTGGTAAAAGCAGCCTCCCCCGCCCCCCGGCCCCCCGGCCCTCAGGACGGCAGTCACAGCCCCGCATCCCTCGGTCGTAGTGTTGGGTGAGCTGCGTCCTGGGCCTCACAGAGGCAGGTCCTCCGACGGGGAGACGGTGGCTGTTAACTGAACCACCGATTGTCAAGGCCGGGGACAAAACAAAGGCGCAGAACTCGGGGCCACCGGGAAGTAACTCATTCCACGGAAGAGTGACTCGCCGCAGTGTCCAACAGATCTTCGTTTCCAGAGAGCAGCAGCCCGCGTTTTCAGACATTCTAGCTGGTTCTCATGCACACAGTTTAAGAACCAAGAAGTAAGAATTCAAGCCCAGGGATGGGGATCTGGGAAGCAACATCCGTGGTGGCTGGAGCATGAACCAAGGCCTTACGGCCCGCTTCTGCCACTCAGTACTGGTCACCTGGCGCCACATCCTCGTCGGGGAAGTTGGGACGACGGCGACTGGACAGACCTTATAGGACGTCGGGGGTTGGAGGAACTAACACAGGTAAGGAATTAGCATCGTTCCTGGAGCACGGATTGTCACTTTCCTGTGACCGTTTCTTGTCACTCCCACAAGAAGTCCAAACTCTCTCTACCTGAACGCTGCAGGTAGGGGCATAGTCAACTTTGAATCACCCCACACCGACCGCTCCCAGTGTCCGCGGCCACCTCCTGTTTTAGGGTGCATTTCTTTCGTTTCCCACTATTCACACACAGTTCTGTTCTATTCTGGATATTTTTCGTCCTTGTATTTGAGGTGACTAGTTAACTCACCTGCACTTAGGTTTATTTCACCAATTTCAGGGTTTACACAATATATATGCTCTCACCTGTTCTCCGTGATGCTTCTTCCGTCAAGAGGAAAACTCCATAACTGGAATACCCCTTGTTTACCATTCTGGCAACAGAAAAATCATGACAACATTTTAGGTAGTAACTGCATACATTTTTATTTTTTAAATAATACTTTAAAAGTATGATGTTAAATTCCCACCCGTGTTCTTTTGGGAGCATGCTCCGACAAACAATTCTAGCATCAGCTGCTCTGCTGGAATTCCAAATGGTTCTACAAAGACTTTTACACACACTGCATCTCTGGTCCCTACTCTTGTTCTAAGAATGTATAATTCTTGTTCTAAGCAAGCAATACACAGTAAAGTCCTATATAACAGTCCCTCGTTACATACAGATGCTCGTCTCCACTGACTTCAGCAGGATTTAGGACAGTCTGTTTACCAATACCAGCTAAACCGTGTTAACAGTGTTAATGACTCTTGAATATCACTGTCTTCATTATATTAACAGTTAACTATTTTATACTTCGATCAAAAAAAGTAAATGAAAGATTAATTTTTTCACCACTTCAAAACAAAATAGCAACTATTTCAGTGGCTTCAAGGTATCTTAAGGGCTGAGACCACTTCCCTTTTGGCAATGACTAGAAATGACTAGAAAACATTACATACATTACAATATTAATTTCCATTTACAATATTGTTACTTGGAAAAAAGTAATATAATAAGATACGAATTTAATGACCAATTTGCAGCCTTGTGAAATAGTCAATAAAGGCCTCAACTTGTTTGAAGAACTCTATGGAAATAAAATTTAAGGTTTAACTTTGAGGAAAGAAATTTTCTTTAAGGAACATACATATAATTTTAAAATGTTCTGTGAATTATTTAAAACCAAGCATTTATCCTTACCTTGTTAATTTTGCCTGAAAGAATGTGTATGAAAAAAGTGACAATAGTTACACAAAACATGTAATATTATAAACAAGCCCCCTTTAATATGAGCAGTTGTTCATATTATAAATATGAATCTAAGTTTCCATATATTTATAAATACAAGTATCAACACACACATCTAGGATTTCTCACCACCTACGGCACTGTCCCTTCCGGGCAGGAGGTTTTTATTTTCAGGAACAGGCACTTCTGCATCCAAATTCCAGTGAGATAAGTTCTAAAACAATATTTGTTTTAGGATAAACTTAATGTAAGAGAAACCCATAAAAGCTCAAGCACATAATTTTACGTGTCCCTTGGGTAAAGCAGGACAAAAGACACAGGCCTGGGGACCGCCCTCCCTCCTGCAAGGCCCGCCCAGCACGCCTGAGGAGCCGTCCTGCTCTCTTCACCCTACTGTCAGCTTGCTAACACCTCCCAGGCAGGCAGGGAGAGGCTCTCCCAATAATTGATGGTTTCGTTCTCATTTTGTTAAAAATAATGGCACACATGTTTTCAAAATTGATTTTAAACATATGATAAACTGTCCAGTTCAGCACATTCACCAAACTGCACGTATCTGAGTACCAGATCCGAAAGTCTGTAACGTCTTTCCACCAACAGAGTGGAATTCTCTGACCCTCACATCACACACAGCACTGACCAGCCCACCATCCTGGTCTCCAGATGCTGAGAAACACTCGGGAAATATTTTTTTAAAGGCGAAAAAAAGGACTGAGTAAACGTATAATCTCTATTGAGGATTTATGTTCCAGACATCGTGCTGAGGGCCATGGAGGGTGGTGTGAGGAGACAGCTGTTGTAATAGTTTATGCTCGAAAAGGGAAAGTGAAGAGGTGAGTAGTTTATTTTTTTAAAAAGTAACATTTGGGGGATGAACTCACTTTTTTTCTCTCAAATGAGAAAATCCTTTGCAAACTACCCTCTAAGCAACATGCAAGTGAAACGACAGGTGGTACCAGGTGCCACCCCCACACTGAGGAGGTGCAGGGAGAAGCAAGCCTGAAACAGGGTGCGGGCTCAACAGGCCCACGAGGAAGTCGCCCCGACAGGAGGGCCGGCGGAGCGCCGCAAGGCGGCTGCAGATTGTCTTCCTCTGGAGGCTTTGGGAACATAAAGTTAATAAAATCCGCAAACTAAAGCCACCGCATTAGTTAGTATATGTTTGCCAGCTACACAAACGTCTCTGCTCTCTGAGACTGTGTGCATTGGATCTAGTCTCTGCATTCGAATCACCAGGGGAGCTCTTTTTTTTTTAATTAAAAAATTTTTAAGCTTTTTATTTTGGGGGGATGGGTAATTAGATTTTATTTATTTAATGGAGGTACTGGGAGTTGACCTCGGGACCTTGTGCGTGCCAGGCATGTGCTCTACCACTGAGCTATACCCACCCCACCCCCAAACTTATCTGTATTTTTAAAGCTTCCTTGATGGATTCTCAAGTTTCTCTCAGCTCCGTAATCAGGGTCCACTAAGGCACAAAATGACGCCTGTGAGAAATATCTTCACAGGGACACGACAGAGAAGCCGGTGAAAACCGTGCGGCTGAGATCCAAGAGTAGAACTAACGCAGCCAAATTGGTCAGCTGGTAAGGAAGATCTGTCCCACCGAACCAGCCAGGTCGCAAACTCCCCGGGGTGGACACTGGTTATACCTTTTGATACCCCGCGGGCCTCACCAATATTCTTCACAAAGCCTGTGTAAGAAGACTGAAAAGGTGAGCCCTGCCGCGTGGATCAAGGTGGCATCTTTAACGACATCCAATTGCAATTAGAAATGTTCGAGGTGTACAGAGAAGCTGGGTGAGTTTTCCTTTGTTAAAAGAAATTAAAACTTTCCATTGGACAGCCCAAATCCCAGGCCAGTCCGCTCCCGGAGAGGAAGCAGCAGGGCCGTGGGCAGGGCGCCTCCGTGGGGCGAGGCCTCGACGCCGGACCGGTTCCCCGCGGCGGCCATACCTCCCCGGAGCTGCGGGCCGCGCGCAGGCTGGTGCCGCTGCTGTCTCCGTTTCTTCTCCCCATCTTGCTCCTCTGCTTCCTGGCGGTGCTACACAGGAGTGGGACAGGCACACGGAGGGTAAGGCCCAGCGCCGATTTAAGAGAAAGCACAGCTCTGGCTCTCAGCCACAGGAGGTTAAGGAAAGGCTCAGAAGGCGGAAGAGAGGGGCCACGAGGGCGGGCGGGGTAACTAGGGGAAATTAACTAGAAACGAGGGGCACGCCAGACTCGTAAAAAGCAAACTGGAAGGTCTAAGTGACGGAAGATTACACAGTTCAGGCCCAAGACGAGAAAAGAGATACCGTCGGGTAGGAGGATAAGACACAAATTAGAAAAAACACGGTGAATCATCTGGCACTTACTAAACTGCTTTTAACCATTTAGAACAGGTGCTCCGTTTGAAAGCAGGGTTAACCTCGCACACGGGCAGAGCAGACACCCCCACATGCTTCAGGGGCACGGAGAGGCCCGCCACTCCCACCCCGAACTACCACGGCGTCTAAGCCCACTACTGCGAAGGCAGCGGTGTCGGAGAGCCGTGAGAACACGGGAGAGGCACCGCTGAACTGGATTCAAGCATTGATCAAGGCATGGCTACCTGGAAAAAAAACCGCAAACTGAAGCCAGCGGTAATCAGTGTATTTGCTAGTCGTTTACAACTGTCTCCCGGAGGGAAAGGTGGGTCCTGAAGAGACAGGAAAGGCAGCTCAGGAAGTTTTGCATCTGAACCTATCGGGCCCCCGGCTCGACGCCGGGCACCGACTGGAAGGGGAGAGGCTGCGGTGCGGGCTGGCCGCCGGCGCCACCGGGTGTGCGGCCCGGCCTTTGTGACGGGGCCCGGGAGAGCGTCGGGCCGGGGACGGGGAGGTGGGTGTCTGGCAGGTGCGGGGGGG